TGTGGAAAAATTTGGAGATGGATGATGGGACTTGCAGTACCTTTGCTCACTTCCTGAGACCACTGAGACCCTCGCCAATGACTAATCAAGACTAAACTTGGCACATGGAGCTCCAATGACCCACTCTACATCCTGGTGCAGTTTGGAGGAGGACAGACCATGGATGATGGGACTTCAAGTACCTCCACTCCCTTCCAAAGATTGCTGCAACCCTCTTCTAATGACCAATCAAGACCACACTTGGCACACAGAGCCCCCATGATCCACTCTACATCCTGCTGCAGTTTGAAAGGGGATGGACTTTGGATGATGGGACTTGCAGTACCTTCACTCACTTACTGACACCACTGCCACCCTCATCTAATGACTGATAAAGACCAAACTTGGCACACAGAGCCCCCATGACCCACTCTATATCCTGCTGCTGTTTGTAGGAGGATGGCCCATGGATGATGGGACTTTGAAGTACCTTCACTCACTTCCTGAAAATAATGCTGCCATTATCCAAAGACCAATAAAGACCAAACTTGGCATACAGAACCGCCATTACCCACTTTCTCTAATAACCCGGGCAACGCCGGGTCCCCAAGCTAGTATATAATAAAGAAGAGTGTTTGTTTGTATAGGACAGAGGAAGGACGGAGGGAGGGCGGAAGTGTATGTGGCAGCGTTCTGATTGGCTGCCGCTGTGGTGCTATTTGCATATGGTCTCTGATTGGCCAGCTTCAATAGGAGCCCCTGGTGGAGAAGAGGGTTCATGCAGAAACGGGGCATGACAGAAGGAAATTTGCATATGGTCTCTGATTGGCCAGCCTCAAATCCAACATTCCGAGATGACAAAGAGAGGAAAGGAAAGGCCGGGGCTGGGTCAGAACACTCCCAATACAGACCGAAATAGGCACACAGAGCCCCCATCACCCACTCTACATCCTACTGCAGTTTGGAGGACTATGAACCATGGATGATGGGACTTGCAGTACCACCACTCACATTCTGAGACCGCTGTTAACCTTATCCAATGACTGATCAGGACCAAACTTCGCACATAGACCTCTCATGACCCACTTTACGTCCTGGTGTGGTTTGGCCGGGGATGGACCGTGGATTATGGGACTTGCAGTACCATTGCTCAATTCTTCAGACCACTGCAACCCTCATCCAATTACCAACAAATACCAAACTTGGCACACTGAGTCTCCATGACGCACTCTACATCCAGGTGCAGTTTGAAGGAGGATGCACCATGGACGATGGGACTTGCAATACCTGCACTCCCTTCCTAAGACCATTACAACTGCCAACAATGATGGATCAGGACCACAATTTACACAGAGACCCAGCATGACCCACTCTACATCCTGGTGCGGTTTGGAAGAATTTGACAATGGATGATGGGACTTGCAGTCACTTCACTCACTTCCTGAGACCACTGAGACCCTCGCCAATGACTCATCAAGACTAAACTTGGCACATGGAACTTCAATGACCCACTCTACATCCTGGAGCAGTTTGGAGGACGACAGACCATGGATGATGGGACTTCAAGTACCTCCACTACCCAAGACTGCTGCAAAACTCATCTAATGACCAATCAAGACCAAAGTTGGCACACAGAGCCCCCATGACCCCCTCTACATCCTGCTGCAGTTTTGGAGAAGGGTGGACCATGGATGATGGAACTTCCAGTACCTTCACTCACATTCTGAGACCTCTGCAAACCTCATCCAATGACGGATCGAGACCAAACTTGGCACATAGACCTCTCATGACCCACTTTACGTCCTGGTGTTCTTTGGAAAACTTTGGAGATGGATAATGGGACTTGCAGTACCTTTGCTCACTTCCTGAGACCACTGAGACCCTCGCCAATGACTAATCAAGACGACACTTGGCACATGGAGATCCAATAACCCACTCTACATCCTGGTGCAGTTTGGAGGAGGATAGACCATGGATGATGGGACTTCAAGTACCTCCACTCCCTTCCAAAGATTGCTGCAACCCTTCTAATGACCAATCAAGACCACACTTGGCACACAGAGCCCCCATGATCCACTCTACATCCTGCTGCAGTTTGAAAGGGGATGGACTTTGGATGATGGGACTTGCAGTACCTTCACTCACTTACTGAAACCACTGCGACCCTCATGCAATGACTGCAAAACACCAGATTTGGCACACAGAGCCCCCATGACCCACTCCTTCACTCACTTCCTGAAAATAATGCAGCCGTTATCCAAAGACCAATAAAGACCAAACTTGGCATACAGAACCACCAATACCCACTTTCTCTAATAACCCGGGCAACGCCGGGTCCCCAAGCTAGTTATATATAAAATTACCTTCAGTTATGTTTATCAGGTATATATGAAACACATATAAATTTTGTGTTTAGACAGGTCTCATTTCCAGGATATTTCTTTGGGTATATAGATGAAAATGGAGGTGTTCCAAAGTGAAAGAATCCAAAATACTTCTGATCCCAAGTCTTTTGGGTAAAAAAAGAGATTGCAAGTTTACCTAAGCATACAAAAATCCTTACCTCAACTGTAACTATTTCTTCTTCATTGTAGGCTCATCAAGAAGCCTTGAAGAGTGAATGGCAGAATTTTCTCAATTTGTGCATCTGCCAGGAGCATCATTTGAAAAATATAGAGAACTATAGAAAGGTAAATGGTGCCATTGCACAAAAAACGATTCCAGAGGGTGGTGTATACAGAATGTTTCCCTTTGAAAAGTTTCGAGCTTTTCCGATCTATTGTAGAAAGTAATGTGGGGTCTCTTTTTTTAGGATGGGGGAAATCCTATAAGGGACAAAGTTTACACAAAGCTTAGTGGTTAGATGTGTCTTTTACACTTAGCCAGCAGAGCAGTTCTGTCGACAGATTGTCTTGGTAGCATATGAGAATAATGTACATTCTATCTCTGGGGGAAAGTGTTCAGTATGAACACACACCATGTAGCTCAGTTGTATAGCTGAAGTAATATTTCAACTTAATTAAGAAAACTCCGCTTTCTGACTCCTTTGTTCCCCTCTTTTGTCTTCAGTTCTATGACGACGCTGACGCTGTGAGTCAGTCGCTGAACAAGCTGAACAGTGACTTGGATACAAAATATAGGCAGTTCAGCAAAGACAGTCCAGGTTTGATGTCTGACTTAATCCTTCAGCTGGAGGTGAGAATCACAAGGAGAAACTAAGAGCCAGCTTTTATGTCTTCATTACGCACCCTGGGGCAAACATGAATTTTCTGAAGCACTGTGAAGATTAAACCCAGCTGCTTGTTTTAACAATTTAATGCATATGAAATTCAGTGAGAGCCACATGGCATTAAGTTACCTCATTAACTTGGGTGGAAACAAGTGAGGATAAAGGGGAAAGGGAGGGAAGATGTGTGTTTGCAGAAAAACGAATCTTACCCAGTGCACCGTGGCCAAGTACGCCATTACAATGGTACTGCTTGCCATCTCATAAGAAAAATCACAAAGCCCTATTCAGATGAAAATGATCTGTTGAAGCAGCAAGGAGCAGGATCTTGCCTGCTGGCTCCATCCAAAATGACCACTCCATTCAGCCGATGATGTAAACATTTCATACACAATCTGGGGCCTTACATTTTTCATGGTTGTGTGAACTGATACTATTAATATAGCAACGTGTACACATAACCTCTTTCATCCTTTTAGATGAGTGGACACAGTTTGTGTTTAAACTAATACTGTTATGGAGTTAGGGCAATACACATGACCCTCTCCCTCAAAAGTAGGATAGGACAAAAATTGCTGTCCTTGCTGTTGCATAATGTAAAATCACACATATTTCACATTTAATCAGTCCACACCGTCTTACCAGAGAAAGAAAATATGCTACGCAGATGATCAATAAAGAACAAGTAGTTTACTTTTCGTAATACAGAACAACATATATACAATCATGTGGTCAGTTGCATCGACTCACATAATGTCCTTTTAAGAGAGATTTAAAATGGTCTTTCTTTCTCCATGTGGAAACTCTTCCTTCCAGCAGCTCATGAAGCAAGAACACCTTCCAAACTCTGTCTCTCTCTGCTTCTGAGTGTCTGCACAGCTCAAGCCTGAAAAAATGTAACAATAACCAAAACTCAGGCTCAGCTAGCTCCTCAGGCGTACCCCAACCAATCAGCTCTGTGCATCTTATTTTACAGTTCACACACACAAACTGATGTTTTACATGCCCTAACACCTGCCTCGTCAATATTCTCCCCAACTAGCATCTCTTACCCCTTCTTCATCAAAGCCAGAGTGGCCCAGATTAGGAGCTGCTATGCCAAACATAATTCTCCTGCTATGGGCAATAGCCTATCCAGGTAACAACCCACCTATCTCTCGTGTGTGTTGCTTTTCAGGCCCTATGATTGTAACTATTATGGAAAACCCCAGTAGATGATGGGTAGTCTCTGACCCCATCTACACTGCCAGATAAAATCCAGATTATCTGCTTTGAACTGAATTATATTAGTTTACACTGCCATATAATCCAGTTCAAAGCAAATAATCTGGTCAATGGGGCCTTTGTTTGTCTTAGAGTTAGGAAGAAACTGGGATTCCATTTGAGAAAGTATATGGAGAACACCCAGTTATTTTGGTAGGAACAATTTTCTGACATGCCCCCCTCAATTTTGAGTGGTTGAGTCATTTCACTGCTTTTTCTGCATGTTTACTCTGGAATGAGCCCAAATGAATTAATGTTCCATGTGTTAGACTGCATAGTGCACAGACATGCTCTAATGTCTGCTTTTGTTCCATGCCTTCTGACTTACCCAAAATAGCATGGTATGTTTTAGTATACTTTTAAATCAAGTGCCTTTCTACTTCTTGTCATGAAAAATCACACAAAGGATTATGGTCACTGTGACTTCATATTTATAACAAGCCTGCTTCAATCCCTGGCCTTTCAAAGGATATTTAGCACTGCACCTCTCAAATCAAATAAACTGCTGGAAGAACAAGTTGATCCACTCTGTACAAATATGTGGCTTTCTGTAGATATTCAGCTGCTGTCTATTACAATAGAAGTCCTAAGTGGGAAAGGAAGTAGACATTTTCATAGCAACAGATATTTTTTAAAGAGAGAGGATTGGTATATCTCAGAACAGACTTTTCTTGGTGAAACCACCACTCTGATTTCTCCACCACCAACACTACACATAACAAAATAATTTCCATCACTTACAAACATAACCAATGGTCCTTTAGATTTGGTATGGTGAGCCCTAAGTTATTTAGGTCCCTTCAAAGGCATGTTGCTTGCTCATAATCAGTATACCATCCATAATTAATTACTTTGTCTTCTTCCTGTCTAGCATGATGAGAAGACTGTGAAACATGCAGAGAAGAGCATTACTGAACTGAAAAGGAGGAGTAAGGAAATCAGTCCCTTGAAACTGCGTAGGGTCCCTCCCTCCCAGTCAGTTACATTGGATACCATTTGTGACTGGGATTTAGGTGAGGTAAGGAAATAATCCTGTCATATATGATGGAGGAAGATCTACCTGAAGCTTTATTCTTTTCTAGTCTGCCTCTGATTATAGTTTCTAGAGACTTGTTTATATCCCTATGTTTCTGCTGCATCTGAGCAGGCTGAAGGAAAGCAATGGAGAAGTACTTTGTTCCAAGTTTGGTAAAATTAAAAATGTGATGCCAGAGCACTCCACACACTGACACTATTCTGCTTTTTGTCTAGATTGTATCCATGCAGTCTGATCTGAGACATAATTGAGCTTGGGCCCGATTTTTCATGTGCAGAGTTTTCCAGACATTTCATTTTGGTAAAACACACTTTATAGGTGTGCATTATTTTGCAACACAGTAATTCAGTTTTACAAGCTAACTGAAGGTTAAACCACTACCTTATATGGACAATGCAAAAATTGTAATAACAAAATGTATGGAGACACAGCATCTCTCATGAAATAATTTCATTTATATTTTTAAATATATATCATTTTTTGCTTTTTTTTCACATAGACTGAGGTTTCTTGTTATGTTTCTATGGCACTCCTGGTGGTGCAGTGGGTTAAATCCTTGTGCCAACAGGACTGCTGACCGATAGGTCAGCAGTTCGAATCCAGGAAGAGTGAGTTGAGCTCCCTCTATCAGCTCCAGCTCCCCATGTGGGGACATGAGAGAAGCCTCCCACAAGGATGGTAAAACATCGGAAACATCCCCTGGGCAACATCCTTGCAGATGGTCAATTCTCTCACACCAGAAGCAACTTGCAGTTTCTCAGGTCGCTTCTGACACAACCCCCCCCCCCCCCCAAAAAAAAACTGCTACCCACTGCAGCTGACACACTAACATGTCACAACACACAGATTGGAAAGCTCTGGCTTAGTGGGTTCTTTGGTGATTTGCACAATCACCTGTTTCTTCCAACCTACCAACACTATTATTTTTGTGGAGTGCCCCATTCCAGCTGTTCCTCTTATTGTGTGTTTGCATATTGCAAAGCTTTGCGTGCTAATGTCAATATGCAACTTGGCCACATTTGTACAAGAGTCATAGAACTGGGTATACATAACACCTTTTGTGTTTATTGAAAAGTAAGCTTAAGCTATGCATTTTAATATGGATGTGTCAAGTTTGCCGTATCTTACTAGACAAAGTCATGGAAATCTAATCTTATCTGATCTTTTTTTCCAAGTCAGTGGCTTTGTAAGAAAATAGCTCCAGAAATAGTGGAACAACCCAATTAAATTAATGAAAATTGTGCCCAAAAACCTTTGTTATGGCATAAGCCCACTCCCCTCCCAATTTAAAATATTATTTTAAGCTTTTTCTCTGCGATTGATGCAAATAAGAATGCCAAATGCATGGATTTTAATGCTTCTGGGTTCAAAGTCTTGTGATATCTGAAAAATGTTTGAGGTTTGCTTTCCTGTCCAAGGCTGAAACTCTCCTCCATTCCTCTAGGTGCAGCTTGAGAGGGGTGAGAAATATACTTTGAATGATAACAGCAGCCAGGAGAACTGGGTGGTACAGAATAAACACAGAGAGACTAAGATAGCGCCTGCTGTTTGCTTCTCCATCCCACCTCCAGACCTCGAAGCCATAGACAGAGTGAATAGGTTGGTGCAAAGCTTTTCTTTCCCTCTTCTTTTCCCATTTAAGTATACAGTGAACAGAATACAAAAATGTAATTCATTTTTACTTGTCTTTATTGGATTTTGAAGCATGATGTAAAAATTGTCCAAAACCTAAGAATCTTCTAGTGAACAGGTATTATAGCATTCTTTATCATGATGTGGTTATTGGAGGATATGTACTGTATATATTATGCATGTTTCTCCCCCATGACATTCTTGCAAACAAACTAGTAAAATGTGAGCTAGACAACACTACTCTTAGGTGGATTGGGAACTGGTTAAGCGACCAAACCCAATGGTTCCTCTTCATCCTGGAAAGAAGTGTTGCAGGGTTCAGTCCTGGGCCCCGTGCTTTCAACGTCTTTATTAATGACTTGGATGAAGGTTTAGAAGGCATACTTGTCAAGTTTACAGAAGAAACCAAATTGGGAGAGGTAGCTAATACTCAAAATGGCCTGAACAGATTAGAGAGCTGGGACAAAACTAATAAAATGAATTTCAACAATGAGAAATGTAAGATACTACACTTAGGCAAAAAAAAAAAAAAAATCCAGAATGGGTGATGCCTGGCTTGACAAAAGTCCATGTGAAAAATATCTTGGAGTCTTTATTGACAAAAGTAAAACATGAGCCAACAGTGCAGCCGCTAAAGACGCCAATTTTCAGCTGCATCGAAAGGAGTCTAGTGTCTAGATCAAGGGAAGTCATGGTGCCTCTCTAGTCTACTTTGGTCAGACCTCACCTGGAATACCATGTCCAGTTTTGGGCACCACAGTCCAAAAGAGATATTTTAAAGTATAATCAATATGTCAATGATTAACACCCTATTGATGTATTGTTACTAAGAAAAACCTCAATAAAAATTTATATATATATATATATAAAAAGAGATATTGACAAGCTGGAAGGTGTCCAGAGGAGGGCAACAAAAATGATCAAAAGACTGAAGATCATGAATCCCTATGAGGAGTGTCTTAGAGAACTGGGTATGGTTAGCCTGCAGAAGAGAAGGCTAAGAGGAAGTGTTTGAAAGGATGTCATAAAGAAGAGCAAACAGGCTGGTTTTATGCTGCTTGGAGACTAGGCCTTGGTGCAATGGGTTCAAATTCCAGGAAAGGAGATTCCACCTGAACATTAGAAACAAATTAAGAGCTGTTCAAGAGTGAAACTCTCTGCATCCGAGTGTGGTGGAAGGTCCTTCCTTGGAGGCTTTTAAACAGAGGCTGGATGACCATCTGTCAGGGATGCTTTGACTGTCCCTTTCCTGCATGGCAGGGGGTTGGACTAGATGGCCCATGAGATCTCTTCCAACTCTATTCTTCTATTATTCTATGTAGAGAAAAGCTGTATGATCTTAATCACACTGCTAGCGGAAAGTACAGAGGATGGGTTTGTAAATATTTCTGAATGGGGCAAAGCATGGCTTTAATATTATCCTCCAGGTAGTTCAAAGGAAAAGTCACCATGATTTGAAATAATGGGTCCAGAGAAAAGAGCTCTGTTTGCAAATGGCAAATATGAATATAATCTCTGTCACCCTGTGGTAATGTTCCCTAATGACTCTCAACTGGTCCTTGAGCATACAATGGAATTGCCATATGGGACAAAGCCTATCAACAATAGACAAGTAGAAATGTTCCAGTCTGAGCCAATTTCATACTTTCTCCCATTTCTTCAATGCAAACAAGATGCTTAAGCACTTATTACTGTCTAGAATGCAAAAATGAGACCATTTCCTTGTCTCAGCAGGAGGTTGGGGGGGGGGGGCTGATGTTCAAAGGAAAATTCCAATTCGTACTTTTAAAATGAGGCTTGGCTTCTTTAAAGGTGGCCAGAGCTCCATTCCCATTACCCGGTCCCTTATCCAGAATATGGCATGAGGCATCTCTCTGCCTAAAAGCTTGCTTACAAGTTATATTTATTATGTAGAACTTGTAACACTGTTTCTCAATTCTCATAGATATATAGGTTTTATTTGAATTCTCCCCCTTGCACACAAGCACACACATTGTATACATGAATTCGACCTATTTTCGTTCTCGTAACACTCTCCAAAGTGGGCTTGACACCCAATAGAAATAGGTAATGTTAATGAGTATCCTACAGTAATTGCAGAGAAAACACTGAATTGCATTAGAAGCCTTTCATGCCTGCAAATATGACATAGCTCTGTCAATTAGATGCACACTTTATTCTACTGTATGCATAATTATTCCCATTACCATGAACCAAATTTAAGGAAATAATTCCCGATCTAACAATAATCCAGTGTCACACAGCAGGCCAATATTCTTAAGAGATTCATTTGCATAGCAAGTATTCACTTACCTCTTGACCAATGCTTTCAAAACACTCATTATTTGTATGGCTTGTTGCTTAGTACATTCACTGAGACAGGATTTTGAATTAGGTCACCTCTTTCAAGTTACAAATTATTTTTTGCAGATCTTGATTCTCCCACCAATGGCTCCATGAATCTATGGCAATGTTCTAATTAGTACTCTTTTCTGGTTTTCTAATCCAAAGTACATTTAATAAAAAACAATCACCAAAAGCCAAATCTAATAATACCACAAAGTATTGGGAGGAGAGTGGACAAAAGTTCGATTAGGACCCTGTAGTAGGTTTCTGGCAAACTGTAATAGATCGGTTTCCAACCTTCAGTACCTCAACAACTGGAAGTAAAACAGAAGGAGACTCCACCATGCTCTGAGGCAACAACATATTTCACTGCTGAACAGCTCTTACCATCGGAAAGTTCTTCCTAATGTTTAGGTGGAATCTCTTTTCCTACAATTTAAATCTATTTCTCTGTGTCGTACTACCTCATCAGATGGGTTTCCCCTCCATTTTTGGCATGGAGCCCTTCACACAACATGCAAGCACTTCACACAACACACAATCTTCCAGTTAGGCTCCATGGCAAAAAGGGAGAGGAAGCAGAGTTCACCACAGCAGGAGCCTTCCCATGTTTCCTTGCCAGCAATGGAAGGAGGGGAAGCTGAGTGGCGACATTCCCCTCCATGGGATGAGGGGTAAGGTAAGGCAGGCAATGCAGGGCGTGGAGCAGCAGCTTCTCCACATCCCCCACCAGGAGCCCATGGAAACACCTCGATGTGGGGCGAATCCATGGGCCTTTTTGGCGAGGTCCCTAATCTCTAAAGAAACAGAAAACAAGTTTGCCTCTTCATCTTTGTGGCATCTTTTCAAACATATCATGTCCCCTTTCAGTCTTCTCATCTCATAGCTAAACATACCCATATCCCTAAGCTGCTCTTCATGGGACTTGATTTCCACTCCATTGATAATTTTGGGTTGCTATGAGTTCTGCCATCTTTAGAGAACCTCTGAAGATGCCAACCAGGTGAAATGTCAGGTTAGAATGCTGCTGGAGCATGTTCATACAGCCCAAAAACTTACAGCAATGATTCCGGCCATGAAAGCCTTCGATAACATGTTGATAACTTTGGCCGCCTTTCTTTGGAAGCATCCCAGCTTGTCAATATCCATCTTGAATTGTGGTGCCCATAACTGGACATAGTATTATTCCAGGTGGGGTCTGACAGGCTATTTCTTGTTGCAATCTAGACATTATACTCTTGTTTGCTTCACATCTGGTATTTTTAACTCCTGCATCACACTGCTAACTCGTGTGCAATTTGTGATCTACAAAGACTCCTAAATCCCTTTTACATGTACTGTTGTCAAGCCACGTGTCCTCCATCCTATATCTGTGCATTTTTTTCTGCCTAAGTGTGGTATTTTACATTTATCCTTCTTGAAATTCATTTTTTTAGCTTTAGCCCAGCTCCCTAACCTGTTGCTGTCATTTTGGATTCTGGCTCTGTCTTCTGTAGTATTAGCTATTCCTCCCAATTTGATTATCTGAAAATTGGTCAAGTACACCCTCTATTTCATAATCAAGGCAATAGGTTTGTGCCAGAAGCTTATTATCCTTGTTGTCAAGGGAAATCTTCACTAAAAACTATATTCTTTCCTAACATAGTTTGCATACACAATAGGTGTGGTAGGAATACCGTGTGCATCAAGCAAAGTTGACACTGTTTTTTGTGTTTAGGTTGGAAGGTGAGCTGAATACAGTAAAGCAGAAGAGAGCTACAGTCCAGAACACACTAAGGAGCAACCAGAAAGCACCTGTTAAAGCAAGCAATCAGGGTATGTTTGCATTTTAGCTGCTTTTTAGCAGGAATTTACAGCCTCATTGTAGTGTGACTAAATCATTCTTGGGATGATATCCCCAAGACGCATTAAGGATGTTTCAAACATCCTGGCGAAAGATCCGTTTTTATTGCTGATGTGAAAGATGGGATGGTACTGCTTGTTTCTTGTTTATTGATATATCATGGGCAAAATTAATTTTATATGCAAATGAAATATTTTGCTTATTATATTTAACTTGAATCACAGCACCTTCCTTAACTGTCAATATTCCTTGTCATTACAGCTCCAATCCGGACCTCCATTGTGTTCCAGGATGACCCCCAAGCTGACCAGTTGCTCCATAAGCTGGAGAAAATTGATGGTGACCTGGGCCAGGTCAAGAAGGAGACTTATGGCCGTCTGAGGACACCACTGAACCACAGTGACCCTATAGAGGACCTTACTCTACGGATCAGAGACCATGAAGCAAGTTATGGGGCAATTTGTATTGCTCATTTGACCATGATAGCTTGCTCTCATAATTTGCCCTAAGCTAAGATGTTCATACCCTGTTGGAATCAATACTCCTATTAGTGAAAGGACAGAGGTTTTTGTGGGTGGTGGTACTAGTAGTCTTGTTATGCTTCTCTAGGGCAAAAGACTAATTGAACACGTTCACTGACATTCCCGAAAAACAAAGAGAACAATGGAGAAGTTTTGTTATGATCTCTTGAAGTTGCTTAGTTAGAATTCAGCCCCTGTCTTCCCCATACATAATGGTGGAATAGACTCTCTTGGGGTAGGGATGGAGTCTCCTTTGGGATTTCCAGACAGAGGTTGATGTCAGAAGTCATTCAGAAATATTTTATTTGTGCATTGCTGCCTGTCAAGTTGCTGGACTAGATGGCCCCTGATACCCCTTCCAACTGCAAGACTCTATGATTCACTGCCTGAAAAGTCTTCAATATAGTATAGAATGAAACTTTTGTTGTTGACTGCCTTCATCTTTTGCATATAAAAATAGTTACACTAATGAAGGCTGGAGGACTCAGTCTCACTACCATAAGATGTGATGTGCTCTAGTCCTCTCAAATGGGGCATCAGGAATAAAATGTGAGGCTACACAGATTGATAAGCTGTAATTGCAGCCACCCAGTGGTAGGAAATGCATTCCTGTTGTGTCTCCTACTGTGATTGATACTTATCTCTCAGTAGGAACTGTTACATTGAACCTAATTGATTGGTATTAAGATAAGCATTGCTCTTTTATCAGGCAGCAACAAGAAGACTTAAAGGTATAGGAACAGAGAAAGAGGCTGCTCAGAAAGAGTGTGAGACCTATCTTTCAAAGAAGACTGCTGGCACCACTGCTTCTCAGCTTCCTGTGATGCTCAACAACATCAAGAACAAATACAGTGATGTCAAGGTGCTCTCAAGGCTCTATGAGGAAAAGTAAGTGATGCCAGCAGTAGTTCCTACCAGAGAATGGAGTGTGTGACTGTAACAAGGAGAAAACATCCTCTCAATGTTTTCTATTAAATGTTGAGTGTTTTTGCTCAGATGATAGAAAATAGAGTTTTGACCTGTGTTGAAGAAAACAGTTATAAAGTGAACTGTTGGCTTATAGTGTTACATTATCTCCCCTTCTTCAGAGCCAAAGCAGGTGTGAATTTGGAGACTCAGATAGAAAATACAGACAAGATCATCAGCAACTTTGAGGCCAAATTATCTCATGATGGCACCATACCAGCCTCACCCAATGCATTGCAGGATCGCGCCAATGAACTTCAGGTGAGAGATCCTGGAGTCAGAAGGACAGATTGGTATATAGCATGAAGTTGAGTTGAGTAGTCAAGTGTCACCTTTTTCACCATATGAAGCAAGAGGATATTGCTGAATATAATAAACAAATAAATCCTAGAGAAAATCAGGCCACACAGTCAGCAGGTCCTTGAAAGGAGATGAGAATCCATCTCTACATGTGGTCTCCCTTTGGCCACCTAGCTCCCTTCCAGAGATAGGTCACTGGTAATGCAACAAGCACGGTGTGATGAACAACATTGTATATGTGGCTGTATAGATATAAATATTATATGTAAAGCTAAATTACAAGTAAGAGCATTCCCACAAGGGGCAAAAACTACAAAAATTCCTAACTACAGGTCTCTGTCAGAAAGATAAACTTAGCATTAGTACTGCATGCCACTGTTGAAAGGATGGCCAGAAAAACTAGACCCACCATGAATCCGTCGTCTGTCTCCATGACACACAGCAATCTCAGGTGAATATCCTAGGTTTTCTGGAATTAAATAAACTTTGCCCTCTTTTTGGCAGTCTACTGGAAACTTGCTGGATCAGGCACAAGGGAAGGAGAAAGCTCATCCTTGTGTTGCACTAGGACATCACCACATCCTCTGTGGCACCACTGTCACTCCCTACCAACCAGGGAGCTACACATAGGTACCTCACCATTGTAGTCAAGTCTGCTGATGTCAGAACAGTGCACCATGGTGCATCAACCCTCTCTTTCTTGCTGATTGCATGGGCATCCGTTCTTTCGACAAACCTCACTGTCAAGAACTAGGCTCTGTTGCTGGATGAGAATGATTGCAGTGACTCAGAGGATGAGGTGACATCCCAATGAGGCCAAAGTGGTCCCAGCCCATGTAGGCACCAGCCCCAGAATCAGTGCCTCTGAGACTCCTCTGGTCAAATTTATACCAGAGTTACCTATCTGATATAGACAAAGCATCTACTAGGTTCTTAATGCTTCCATAGACCTTCTTTCTCTCTCAGCTGCACTGAGCCCCGGTGGCACAAGAGGTTAAACAGTTGCACTAGATTTTATTAAATTGAATACATGAGGATATCTTTTGTCTATAATGTATTCAATTTAATAAATGCTAGTGCAACTGTTTACTTGTTCTTTGTTTCTCCCACGCAGCTTGTTAAGACAAATTATTTCCAAATAACTTAGATGCCTTTCTACTCATACATATTCAGTTGTCAACATCTTTCTCTTTGTGGAGGTATAATTTCTTGAGAGGGGGGCAGACTGGGAAAACAAATGTATCAGGGGTTTATTTACTTGTTCAAACAAAACAGCTCTTCTGAATTCTATACCTCTTCTCCTTTGCAGAAACTGAAGCGAGAGTTAGTGAAGCAGGAGGACTGTTTGCTGAAGTTAAACCGGAGTCTCAAGGATGCAGAGCATTGCTGCAGCGCTGTGCAGAACAATTTCCAGGAGTACTGCCCAGATCTGCCAAGGCAGAAGAAGGAAGTCCAGCTCCTTAATGACCGATATCATGCTGTTGCTGACCAGCTGGATCATAGGTGGGAAGCCCAACCCTCTCCAGTGGTGGAGATAGTGGTAAAAGGAATATGGAGGCAAAGGAGACCACGTTGGACAAAACCTAGAGAAGTTACATTTGGCCATCTTGTTTTTCATGTTCATACAGGATAGGGAAGGGCTTTGATACCAACAGACTATGTCTAGCATCCATTATGTAGTATATTCATACCTGCAACTGCTGAATTTGGAAAGGACCGTCCTGATTAAACCTTTGTCATCCCACTTTTTAAGCTATTTTAATACATCCCCGTTCCAGTATCCTACTCCCCTTTTGGCTTCATCTTCATTCAATAGCTACAAATTGAGTTCAAAGTGTAAAAGTATTTTTCACTCAATTACCTCAGTATTGGAGGATGGGAGATGGTGGAACTTTGCTCTTTCCCATTGACTGAGAGAAAAGCAAACTACTGCAGCCTCTTTTATTCTCCCTCTTTAACAATTTTTGCAATGTTGACCAAACCTTGATGCTGCTTAGGCCCCTTCTACATTTCCAGATATTGCTTTGATAATCCAGATTATCAAAGCAGATAATCCACATTGTCTGATGACATGAGTCTACACTGCCATATAATCCATTTTATATGGCAGTGTAGATAGAAGCACATATCCTGGGTTTCATCTGCAGACACAGATGTTTCGGAAATGCCTGTACAGTGGTCTCTCACTTATCGCGGGTGTTATGTTCCTGTACCACCCGCAATAAGTGAGATTCCGCAATGTAGGGACGCATCTTCACCTTTCCTCCTCGCCCTCCTTACCTTCCTCTTCCTCCTCCTCGTCGCCATATGGGTCCTCTTGCCACCGCCTTCTCAGTCATGGGGCCTAAGCGCCAGCAAGAGGCTCCAGGCAGCGAAGAGGAGGCGGAAGCGGAAAGTAAGCAGGGCAAAATTATTTTTTAAAAAACCGTGAAACAGCGAGTCCATTATAAGCAGACCGTGAAGGAGCGAGGGATCACTGTATCTATCTTTTTGTTGTTGTTGTAAATCATACACCAGTTGTTTGTTTGTTTGTTTTTTTACTGGAGATCTTCCCCCTTCTCAAAAATTGGCATGGGGAGGATGAGGCAGCTTGCAGTTCTCCATAGGAAGAGAAAGGCCTGCTCCTGGTTCCCCCAGGAGTCCTCCCTTAAGTGAGCTGCAGTAAGGAAGCTGCTTACCTGGAGGTCTCTTGGTTAAATCAGACACTGTAACTACTCTTGAAGGAAATTTCTGATTCACCACCACTGTGCTGCAGGATGTGTGTTGCTGCACTGCAGGGGGTTGGACTAGATGACAATTCCAACTAGGATTCTATATGTTTTTACCTAATTTGAACATGAAAATCAGAAAAAAAGGATCTTCGACTGGGGGAATCTTCCCTATAAGAGCTTTTTCTCATCTCTTTCTAATCATGTCCCTATCCATCCAGAGAGAAGACACTCAGGAACACCAGCCTCACCTACCAACAGTTCCAAAATGCCAATGAGAATTTGATGTTCTGGCTCAACAATTTGCCCAAGTACCAGGTCAAGACCACTGATGGTCCCAGCCAGATCAATTACAAACTCCAGGCACAGAAGGTGAGAACTGTGTTGCCTTCAGTCAAAGAGTGGAAGATTGGGAATAACTAAACTGTATTAGCTATGTGTTAATTAGTCAAACAAGGCCTCATAATGTGTTGATTAATAGGCACTCACAATCACTTTGGAAATAATGTGATGTAACTAGTTTTATACTAAATAGTTTTTTTTTATTTCAACAAAGCTGAACAAGAAAACATGATGTCTACAAGCAGCAGTTATTTCTATGGTGCAATGAATAACCTCTTGTTATTCTTTTCTGGGGATGGTATCAAGAGAAAAAAAGAGAGAGTTCTGGAGTTGTTAGAATCTTGAGGGCCCATGAAAAATATGTGTCACAGCACCAATCTTTGAAAATCACATTTAATGATTCTGAGTCAAAGAAAGACTGCAGTTATTCAGTAGTTTGCTATAATGGTCTAAACGGTTCCTGGTTGGGAAATTCAACTTTAAAATGTCACAAAGAGCATATTTGAGGAAATCAATGATATGACAACACACATGGCACTCTCTGTAAATCCCATGATTTTAAGACTCACCAACTGAAGTAAACAATGAACCACAATCAAACTATTCCAGTATTTAACAGTGAATTAATTACCACATTTCTGGTGCTGAAATTTAACAAACCAACTTTCCTGTTCCATCTTCCAAGCTTGGCTTCTGTCATGCTGAACTACATAGAACAAAGGAATACATATAAGAAAAAGCCTTAAAATTACAAAGAATGGGAAACAGTGGAAAGCAGTTCTGGAAGTTTGCATAATTAGGGCCTGCTTATGTATAAAGCAACTAGAGCAACGATCCTTTTTGGAGAGGGAAGTTTTAAATTTTGTTGTCTATAACAAACATGCATTAGTATTTCACAAATGGATAATGAACAGTTATTCAGCAATGAACTGGGTCATGTCTTGACTCTCCGTTTCTGTTTCCCTTGCAGAGGCTGGCAAATGAAATCCAGAGTAAAGAATCTGACAAGAATTCAGTGGTCAACTTGTCTCAGAATGTGCAGTCTGTTCTTAATGTATGTTGCGGTGCTCAATGCATTTTCTTTTTCACTTGGTGAACCTTGTATTGAGTTTTTAAAAACTAATTAATTAATTTGTTTGGAAAAAACAGGATTATGAACTCCAGGCAGGAAAATATCGGTCCTCTCTAGATCCCAGTTTGACTGCCTCCTCTGCAAAACGCCTCCGGGTGACCCCTCTTCAAGAGAGCATCCAAGCTGAGGTGAGAACTTGAACCAGAGCTCAAGTTTATTTATATAAATATTTTATTTCTTTTAAGCAGCCATTTCCCACATCTTGAAAACAGTTTTAAAAGTGGGTTGTTGTAGGTTTTTTTGGGCTATATGGCCATGTTCTAGAGTCATTTTCTCCTGACGTTTCGCCTGCATCTATGGCAAGCATCCTCAGAGGTAGTGAGGTCTGTTGGAACTAGGAAAATGGATTTATATATCTGTGGAATGACCAGGGTGGGACAAAGAACTCCTGTCTGTAGGAGCTAGGTGTGAATGTTTCAACTGACCACCTTGATTAGCATTTGATGGCCTGACAGTTTTAAAAGTGTAAAAATAGAATAATACCTCATGAAAGTACGAACATCTTTGTGGCGAGAGGGGGGAGAGCATTAAGGCCCCCTCACTCAAAAAAAAAAAACTAACAAAGCTACAGGCAATTAAAAATAATTGTTTCAGCAAAATAACCCATTAAACTGATGAAATCAATCCAAAAGGGAAAATGTTTTCTGAAGAAAGAAAAGATAAGTGGGGATACATTCAGATATCCCACAAGTAGACACAGCATCTATAATTCATTGCCTAAAGCTAATTTTTGCAAGCAAGCTTCAGCTCTCTGTGTCTGTGATGCAATGGCTACACTTTTTTATCACTCACTCAAATCATATTTATGTACAAACCACCCCAAACACTTAGGTCCTCTGGGTGCATCTACTCCAGCCAACTGTCACCCAGAGGACAGTTGACTTTTCATCGGCAGCTCCAAGACTGTGGAACAAGCTGCCAGAAGAGCTCTAACGGCTAAATCAGCTGTCGGAATTTAAGAGAAAATTGAAGACATGTGCATTTTAAACTCACGTCCTTTGTTTTGTGTATTTTAATCTATATATTTCATAGAAATATGTTTTATCATATGTACTTTACGTAATGCTTTATGAAGTGTTTTAACTATATTGCACACCACCTCGAGACATGGGGAGAGGCAGTAAGAAAGAACTATTATTATTATTATTATTATTATTATTATTATTATTTTACTGATACAAAAACACAATATGATACAGCAAATGAGATATATATACTGGATTTTATATCACAAAATCACAAGTCGAACACTTCCCAAGCGTTTAGGACAGTGTGATATATTTCCGAATGATGTGTGCAGATCCAAGTAAGGTGGCCTTTTGCAGTTGACTGTGATTTTGTCAATGTTTATTGTTTTCAAATGCTGGCTGAAATCTTTTGGCAGGGCACCCAGTGTACCAATTACCACTGGGATCACCTGTACTGGTTTATGTAGTTTGATTTTGAGATCTTGATAACGGCATTATTAGGAGTATTATTAGTCACATACAAAGTGAATGAAGGAAGCACAATTATCTTCCTAGTAGGACAGTGGCTATAAACACTTGCCTAGGAGTAATTCCCACTAAATACAATGGGACTCAATTCTGTACAGAGATGTTTATAGGAATGTCGTGTCAGGTAAGGTAAAGAAAACAAGTGAAACTCCCATTGGAATTGTCCCAGCACATTTCTTTAGGAAATTTTGGTAGCTTTGAAACAGAGTAGAAAATGACAGCATATCACAGAAAGAAGTATCACATTGTCTGAATAATGTTTTATTGATTCCCCTTAGGAAAACAATGTGACCAAGCTCTTTACAGAATCCGCTGCTGAAAACAAAGAGCAGCTCAGCCGGCTGGAATTTGCAAAGAAAGTCCTGGATAAGGTATATGTGCATCATGTGGAAGGCTTAAATAACTCTAGCTAACTCATTTGGTATCTCCTTTGAGCAAGAAAGATCTCTTGGTTGCTTCCTTTTTTTGATTTCAGAGAAAAGCAAACAAAAAAAAGCTGCTTTGAGGTGCTGTTGTATTTCCACACCCTTATTACTTTATCATTTGAATTCATCAAAGAACACATGAATGTATTTGTAAAAAAATGCCAAGGAGTGGACCAGTCTCCTATTTGCTTTGGCTTGGCCTTCACCCTTGTTTGCTGACAATAATGCCTAAATCCTAAAGCATTCAGTATAGAAGGTGGCATCCTCCACTCCCTTTACCAATTTATTTATTTTACTTATTTGTCTTGTTTAATAGATATCCTGTATTTTTCCTAACAAGGGAACCAAGGCGACTTACAACATAAAAGACACAACAAAAGACATAATACAGATGTTTAAAAAATAGCTGTTGTGGAAATCACCAATAATTTAAAATCAGTACATGTGAAATAATTGCTATGGAATTATATAGTTTTACAGAATCTTTAGTTTTTTCTGCCAGAGAGCTGGTGCCTCGCCAAACTACAAATCCATGAATTTCATAGCATTGAGCCAGGGCAATTAAAGTGGTGCCAAACTGCATTAATTCTACAGTGCAGATGTGGCCTAAATCCCTAAGGCAACAACAGCTACTTTCTGAAAGCTCTCCTAAACATGGGAAGAAATCATTGCTCTTTGTCTAAAATTGCAAAGCTCATCCCATGTGAGCCATGGGATGTTACTTTAGTTGCCATGGTACAACTAGGAACTGACACCTCAACTTCTCAGTAAGATTTACATTTTTATTCCTTTTTTTTTTTTGCAACATTGATATACACTGAAGAGGGCATGTTGGTTATTTGCATGTAAACCTTCTTTGGGTTGCTGTACGTTTTCCTGGCTGTATGGCCATGTTCCAGAAGCATTCTCTCCTGGTGTTTTGCCTGCATCTATGGCAGACATCCTCAAAGATTATGAGGTCTGTTGGAAACTAGGCAAGTGAGGTTTATATATCTGTGGAATGTCCAGGGTGGGAGAAAGAACTCTTGACTGTTTGAGGCAAGTGTGAATGTTGTGTAGTGCTGATGCAGTGTATTTTCCTATGCAGGTATTTACACAAGGCTTAGAGAAAGCTGGATCCTGAAGTTCTAAAAATTAACTTTTCTAAATTTTAATCACTGCAAGAAAGCATGCTCACAATTGGACTTTTATGGACTCTTTTAATTTGTATTTCTCTTCCTGACATTGTTTTTCTGCTTTTCTTTCTTTCTTTCTTTCTGCAGAAAGAAGTAAATGAAGCAGTGCAAGTGACATATGAGCAGAAACAACAGTCCCAAAACATGGGTAGGTCACAGAGAGAAGCAGACACCGTGAAATCTCAACTGGAAGAGGAACGGAGGAAGAAGGTCAGGGTTCAGGAGGAAATGGAAGTTCTGAGGCGTAAACTTCTGGTGCTAAAGACTCAACGGCCAATTGAAAGAGTAGAAGAGAAAGAAGTGATTGAGTATTACAGAAATCCAGCTCTGGAAAGTGATCTCTCTAAAATATCTCGTCAAATTGAGGATGAAAAGAATAAAAGAAAGGACCTACTGAAAAATGTTCAGATAATGAGCAGCAAGGTCCTTGAAATGGAGAACGACAGGAAGACTGTGAAAAGCCAGCTTCTTACAAAAGAAATTACTAAAATAGAGAAAGATCCAAGCCTAGATGCTGAAGCAGCCAGACTCCATGAAGAAATCAAGCGCCTCCGTGAGAATTCAGGTTCCATCTCTGAACTTGAACAGCTAAGGAAAGAGCTTCACTTGTTGGAACAGAAGAAGCCAAATATCAGAGAGAAAGTGGTGGTAAAAGAGGTGGTCAAGCTGGAGAAGGCCCCAGAGGTGGTCAAAGCCATCAGAACACTGCAAATGCAAATTGATGAGGACAGTTTCAAGAGAAAGTCACTTGTGGATACAATAGGAAAAGTGAAAAGCAGAATTGAAGAGCTTGAGAAGCTGATTGAAAGAGCAGAACCAAAAGTTATTGTGAAAGAGGTCAAACAAGTGGAGCAAGACCCAGAGCTGCTGAAAGAATCTTCCAAACTCCAAACTCTAATTGACGAGGAGAGGAACAAGAATACATCGCAAGCAAGTGAGCTGACAGAACTGCAAAACACATACAGCACTCTAGAGAAGCAAAAGCCGAAGGTGGAAATTAAGGAAAGGGTTAATGAAATCTTTCATATTGACCCTGAAACTGAAGAGGAGATTGTACGTTTGAAGAAAGAACTCCAAGAAGTTACAAGAAGAAGGACAAGGGTTGAGCAGGAAGTTGGGAGTGCCTTAAATGAGCTGAAAGTTCTGAGGTCACAGGCACCTACAGTGGAGTTTCAAGAGGTCATCCAAGAGGTGGTGAAGATGGAGAAAAGCCCAGAGATTCTAAGAGAAATAGGTCGGCTGAAGCAACAGCTGAATGACCTTGTGAATATAAATGGCAGGTCCCAAGAACAGCTGATTAGGCTGCAGGGAGAAAGGGATGAGTGGAAGAGAGAAAGATCCAAAGTTGAAACCAAGCTAGTGACCAGGGAGGTTGTGCGATATGAGAATGACCCTCTGCTAGAAAGAGAAGCTGAACGACTCTGCCAAGAAGTACGCAATGCATCGCAAAAAAGGAGAGCAACAGAAGATGCCATCTATGACCTCCAGAATAAGTATATGCTCCTGGAAAGGAGAAAGCCTGAGGAAAAAGTGGTAGTCCAGGAAGTTGTCCTTACACAGAGGGACCCAAAGCTCAGGGATGAGCATAGCAGGCTCAGCAAGAGCTTAGATGATGAAGTCAGCAACCGCCGACGCTTGGAACGTGAAGTTCAACAGCTTCGGGCAGCAGTTGAAGAGAAAGAGAGATTGCTTACCTTCCAAGATGACAGAAATAAAAGACTTACTTTGGAAAAAGAAATGCGTCAAATCACCTTGAGGATAAAGGAAATTGAGGAAAGCCCCGCCCCAGTTCAAGAAAAAATAATCACAGAAGAAGTGGTCAAGGTTGAGAAAGATCCTGTTCTTGAGCAGTCCAGTACACACCTCCGAATTGACCTGGATAATGAGAAGGCTCAAGTGTTGAGCCTACAGAGGGAATGCAAGAATCTTCAAAACCAAATAGATGTTTTACAGAAAACAAAGTCCCAGGAAAAAACTATCTACAAGGAAGTAATCAGAGTAGAAAAGGACAAAGTACTGGAAAATGAGCGAGCACGTCTCTGGGATCTGCTCAGCAGGGAGCGAATTGCCCGGCAAAATGCAGAAGAAGATATTAGGCGTCTCAAAGAAAAAACAGAGAGAGCAGAAGGCATGAAGAAGACCTGGTGCAAAGAAGAAGCCGAGCTTCAGCAAACTCGGAATGTGGCAATACAAGAAATTGCTAATCTCGAGGAAGAGTTGGGAGAACTGGAAAGACAGCAACAACAGAAAATCCTTTTCCTCAGAGAGCAATCCAAGCTGCTGAGCCAAAGGACAGAGAATGACCGACTAAAGAAGATGCAACTTGTCAGCGAGCTTTCTCACCTTGAATCGGACATACTTAAGGAGAAGGATCAGATTTATGAAAAAGAGAGGGCTATCCGAGAGCTCCAAAGCAGAGTAAATAAGGAAGAACTGAACCATGAGACTCAGATGAGAGAAACAAATCTCTCCACCAAGATCTCTATTCTGGACCCAGAGACAGGCAAGGATGTGTCGCCCTATGAGGCCTACAAGAGAGGCATGATCGACAGGGAACAGTATATCCAGCTGCAAGAATTAGAATGTGATTGGGAAGAAATCACAACTCTGGGACCCAAGGGAGATGTTTCTGTCCTACTTGACAAGAAGAGTGGAAAACAGTACTCTATTGATGATGCCCTGAGGTTTAGAAGAATTACAAAAGAGGAGTATCAGCTCTATAAGGAAGGCAGGATTCCTATTTCTGAATTTGCTCTGCTGGTAGCAGGTGAAACGAAGCAGAACGCCTCCCTCTCTATTGGCTCAATCATCTCCAAATCTCCAGCTACATCACCTGCCTTCCAAAAAAAGCAGAGCTTCTTCCCTCCAACACAGATGGCCTTCTGTGATGATACTTTCCCCATTGCTGGAGTGTATGACACCACCTCTGACAATAAATACAACATCAAATCTGCACTTAACAAGAGGCTGGTGGATCCAATGACAGCTCAAAAACTTCTGGAGGCCCAAGCTGCTACTGGAGGGATCGTTGATCTTGTCTCACGGGATCGCTACTCAGTCCACAAAGCCATCGACAGAGGGCTCATTGACAATACATACACGCAGAGGTTGCTGAATGCTCAGAAGGCTTTCACTGGGATTGAAGATCCTGTCACTAAGAGAAGGCTGCCTGTAGGAGAGGCCGTTCAGAAAGGGTGGATTACGAAGGACAATGCCTTTCCTTATTTGCAGGTTCAGCACCTGACTGGAGGACTAATAGATCCCAAGAAAACTGGCCGTATCCCAGTGTCAGAGGCTGTTCAGATAGGCATGCTTAGCAGTGACCTGGCCATGATGCTGCAAGATGAATCCAACTATGAAAAGGATCTTGTTGACCCTATCAGCAAAGAAAAAATTAATTATAAGGAAGCTATGGCTCGTTGCCAAAAAGATCCTCTAAGTGGGTTACTTCTCCTCCCAGCCACCTCTGATGGATACCAGTCATATCAAGCAGCCAGCCGTTCACCCACTTTGCCTCGCTTCGGACACTGAAAACAGCACCATGGTCTCTAGTTTGCTGGTAGCCTTCAATGCTTTAAATTTGCACTTCACACATTGGAGAGCAGCTCTATTGGTTCCCACCCCTTAGACCATGTTAGCTCTGACTGAAGGGAATTGCATTCCCAAACATCTGGAGGGCATCAGGTAGGAGAGATCTGTTTCAAGCCCTCAGTAGAGCTCACATACTCTGTTAGCACTGGACAGAATTCCTGGCAGTTAAAGCAAATTCTGTGTTAGTCTGAATAGCTAATCTTAGTTTATTATACCAAGGCAGCAATGTGTCTTAAAGATGTATTTCTGATGGTAAAAGGGTTCTAATGCAGGAATAAATGTTTACTGTAGGGAAACAAAGTGGATTTATAAATTTAACCAGTATGCTTGGTAACTGTGTCTCCTTGCAATTTTGAAAGGATGTGCATCAAAGTGCTTTGATTTAAGATTGTTGTCATGTATGCAATAAAAAATAGAATTAAAAAGATTCTGTTAGTTCTCTTTAAAATAGAAGCACTTCCCTTCACTAAAATGTATATCTACATCAAAATACTAAACAAGAATGAATAAACCTGAAGGAGTCCAAGAATGTACGCTACAAAACTCCAGAGAAAACAATAGTGCCAATGGTTATGTGGGTTTCAGAGCCATAGTAACACAGAAGCAGAAATCTATTGGTCACCTCAAAGAAAGACTGAAGCCCTAAAAGGTTTTACAAGACGAGCAAAAAAGAAAGGAAGGAAGGAAGGAAGGAAGGAAGAAAATTTCATTCCCTCTGCGATCAATATTTTGTACTACAGCATGCATTCAAAATAAGGATAATAGATAGAAATCACAAGCCCTGTTGTCCATAAGAAAGCTTTTAAACCATCTGGAATATGCTTTATTTGAGTGCAGAGAGAAACATATACAATAACAGTCATCAATAAAACCACCTGAAATGTCAATAATAACTATTTTACAAATCTGACTAAACAGTTGTTCAGATCCATAAATGAAACAGCTTCTCCATTTGCAAAATAATTTGATGCAACAGAAGATATCAGTGACAAAGGGGAGGATATTTCCATTGCTTTCCCTCAACCCCCCTTGAGCCACCTCCCATGATGCTCCATAAGGGGCATCAGCCTTCACAAGCAGATTTCTTAGGTGTAGAAGGGGCTGCATAGAAAAGAGATTCAAAAAGAAACTTTTCCATTGGTGGAAGGACTGCCTCAGGAATAAATCTCTGCTTGCAGGATCTCTGGATCCAACTCAAGACCATCACATAGTTTGTCAAGCATTTATTCTCTGATGTTCTGTAGTATCTATGTCATGATGCCTTTCTCTTGACACACTGATGGTCAGTATTTCCAATAAATTACAGTCAAAATTCTAGTGCTATCACAAAGTCCAGTGACTAAGATCAAGAACTCCCACGCTAAATCTGTAATAGAAACACCAAGTTCTGGTTTTCCTGTCTTAAAGTACAAGGTTTCCTGAGTATAATGAAGGATATGGAAAACATGGCAAAAAGGGAATATAATGATGAGGAATGAAGGAAGAAACTGAAATGTATCATTCTAGGATGTGGCTCTGATGCCCAGTTATCCCTCCCTGTATTATTGTTTTGAGCACTGATAGCACTGTGAACGCCAACACAAGGGGAACATTTTAAGAAAAGGATCAAAAGGTACGCTTGCAGACTCCAGTTTTAAAGTTGGGCTTACATCGACTAAGTTTAACTAATTTCTCTTCAAAACAATATCTGAACCACAGCAGATATTACATAATATGTGATCGCAAGGCTTGGACTTAGACTTCTGTCCCATTCCATCACTTCTTCAATTATGATGAACACTAAACTTATTACCTCGTTTAAGGGACAAGCAAGTGTCATTTTAAGAAGCTTTGGAATAGTAAAATGTTACATTAACATAATATTAACTCCTGCACAAGACCAGAGTGCACCTAAATCAGGATGAGAAGGTCATCTTCTGCATTCATCCCAAAACTGCCTCCTCTCATGGGCCATATCTCTGCACCACATGCAGCTCTTTGGCATCCCATGGCGCCTGCCGGAAATACTGGTGGTTCAGAGCAGCTTTGGCTGAGATACGCCTGTTGGGGTCATACAGTAGTAGTTGCTGAAATTAAAAGAAGAACAAACAGTGCTTCATAATCTTTAAGTGTCAAAGCACTCACTCAGTGAAAAATTGACATTATTCAAACAAGTCTGAAATGGGTTCTGGAGAATGGCAATTTGTGACAACTGGAAAGCAATGGTTCTAGTCCTCATTAAGATGTATGCAAAATTCAGGAAATCCTATGAATTACGCCTGCAAGAGTACAATTAATAGGAATTAGAAACTGCCCTAGATAGATTACATATAACCAATATTGGAAGGCTTGAGTTTAAATGTTATGGAGTCAATTCATAGGCTATTTACAGTACATGAAAGTATGTGTGCCACTTTATTTTAATGTGTGCATAGGATTTCAGCCTTTACTTCAATCTCAGAATTTACATTCTGAAACCTAGGGGTGGAGGGTTATTTTACACTGGACCAAACAACAATGGATGGACATAGCATATATCAACTTAAGATGCGAAACTGAACCTCAGATTTTAGTTTATGACCACCTTAACTCAATACACTAATGCCACAGCCTCTGTTCCAGCTTTTTACTCACAGCCAGTAAGTCTCGTCCCTCCCGGTCCAAGTTTGGAATTACCACCTTCATGTCTTTTCTTGGCCACCTTGGGAAACTCCCCTTGTAGTCAGGAAGCTGAGTCACTCCTGGCCATAGCGATTCAGTCGGTGTCCCCAGAGTGCGGAAGATTCGGAAGAGCTGGTCAATTTCTGAGTCTCCAGGAAACAAGGCCTTTCTGGTCACCTGGAATTTTTAAAAAGCAGATGATTTGCTTATCTAGCTCAACAGAACAATCTAAGTGATCCACGTTTGAGATAATGGTAATCTTTCACCAAGTAAAACTTCCTATGACAACATAAGAAGAGTCCCGCTTGACCAGACCAAAGCCATGCCTGGCATCCTGTTTCTTGCAGTGGCCAGCCAGATGCTTTTGGGGAGTATGCAGGCAGGATATAAGGGCAATAGATCAATCTTATTTTAGTCCTAAATAACTGGTATTGAGTGCTACTGTGCCTCTGATCTCAGCAGTGATATATACAATACAGCCTTCATGACAATGAGCTATTGACAGGCATTGCCTCCATGAGTTTGTCTAATCCACCTTTCAATTCAAGCAACAAGGGGGATGTGTTTAGCCTGTAATTAACATTTGCTATGGGTTTTTTTTTTCAGGGGAACACATTCCAGTAAACTTGCAAAGTAAAACCATCCAACGATCTGTCATAAAACAAAGCTGTCTAATGCAAAATGACTGAGGAAAGGCACGTACCATTACAAATGAATGTGTTTCATTATGAAGAAAAATCATTTCAACACATTTTATATATACATAAGGACATTGTAACACAAGTCTATGGCTATCTCAATTTCTTGAGAAAATGACCTCCATAGTTTGATTGGATTGTTAGAGAAAAAGTAATTTTGTCTGCATTGTATCTGTCACCATTCAGTTTCCCAAGTGAATATTGTGTGTGTGTGTGTGTGTGTGTGTCTGTTTGACACCTGATGTTGGAGAACCTCTAGATCATTGCTTCTTAAAGTGTGGGTCCCGATCTCAAATGGAGTCCCCTTAGCTCAATGTTGGAATCTGGAAAATTTTTCTGAATATCAAGGTGCAGCAGTTCCTTGTCTGTGTTTGCGAGTTCTTTGTGGATAGTGTCTGCAAGTGATCAAACCTGCCACCTTAAACTGTATCAGTGTCTTTAAAAATGTTGCTTAATATTACCTTGGCAAAATACTTGCAAGAAAATGAAAAAAAAAATGAAGGGAGAATCTAAAGCTACCAACTTTGTCATTTTCCAATGCTGCCTAGCCTGGGTGTTTCTTACTCTAAGGCTGCAAAGTCATCTTTACTTGCATTCCCTTTATACAGCAGTGCCCCCTAGTGGCAACAGCCATCGCCATGCATTTCTTTTAACACTTTGAAACCAGTAAAACATCAAGAGGAAGACAACAAAAAAGCCCCCTTTGAACAAATGCTAGGAGGAGAACCCCATGACAGGATCACCTTAGGGTCACCATAATTCAGAAGAGATTTGAAGGCATGCAAACAACAAAAACATAAAGCTGCAACCCTTCTTTGAAAAATAATTGAAAAATGTTACCATTTCAGCAAATATGCAGCCAATGCTCCAGATATCCACTGCCGTGGAGTAGTACTTACAACCCAGTAAAATTTCAGGGGCTCGATACCATAAAGTTACAACCTAGAAGAAATCACGTTGGAAGCTGAGTCCAAATTATACTGATTACAGATGAAAGTTTAAAAAACTAAATCATTATCGTTGCACCATAATGATTTAATGATGCAAAACTCAGGCTCAAACCACATGGCACATTAAATAGGTAACACAACTGTATAATGTTTTCTGTTTACTCAAAGGCTCTAATGCACATGACTGTAATCCAGATGGAAATTAGTGAGCATGGGAAGGAGAGACTTACACCTGCCACATCAGTGTCTTATTTAAACTTCCCCTCATCCACACAAAAGGGTTTTTTAAAAATAATTAAGTTGGTGTTTTTTTGATGAGCAACAGCTCATTTCTTCTGTACGATCTTGGCTCCCAAAACTTATATGCCAATTAATAGGCTGCTCTTGAACATTTCACAGGGCACTACAAATATAACATAGCTTTGATGCCAAAAGATATCATTTTGACTTCCAACCAGCTGCAAAAAAAGGCTGGATTTAATCTATTAATTCTGAGCTTTTTTTTCTTCCTAGAATGCATCTACACTGTAGAATTAATGCATTTTGAAACAACTTTACTGTCATAGCCGAATGCTACGAAATCTTGGGTGTTGTAATTCGACACAGTCTTCAGCTTTCTCTGCCAAAGAGTGCTGATGCCACACCAAATTATAACTCCTAGGATATCATAACACTGGGCATTTAAAGTGGTGTCAAACTACATTAATTTTATAATGTATAACCAACCTTACTTTTTTCTCAGCAAAAGCTGTTCACAATTTCTCCATTTACTGCACCAATGTGACATATCTAAATAAAGTGTAAACCTTCTCAGGGCGCTTCCACATAGCCATATATCCCAGAATATCAAGGCAGAAAATCCCACAATATCTGCTTTGAAGTGGTTTATCTGAGTCCACACTGCCATATATTCTAGTTCAAAGCAGAAAATGTGGGATTTTATACAGCTGTCCGGAAGGGGCATCAGTGGGTAACCTGGAGACATTATTTCATAGAAAGAGAGTTACCTCATTACCTCATGAGTATAAGTGCGCAGTGGAACACCAAAGGCCCTAGCAAGGCCAAAATCTGCTAATTTTATGGCTCCTGTTTCATTTATGAGTAAGTTCTGGGGCTTCAAGTCTCTGTGGATGACTCTGTGGGAATGACAGAAGCTCACGCCTTGTAGTAACTGGTAAAGATAGCTCTGGGAAGAAAAGATTCAAAGACCAAGAAACTATGAGAGGTTAACATATAACTCCCCAAAACAAAAGGTGGGAGGGAATTTTGTTTGCTTGTAAAAGAAATGGGTTCCACCCGAAATGTTTGCTGTGTCCATGGAAATATGGTGAAGTTCAAGCAGAGGTTTCCCGCATCTAGTTTTTTTATTAAAGGGGAAAAGGGCCCTTTATCACTGACAAGGGTTGTATGGGAAGAAATTCTATTTCCCTTTATCTTTCTGTAAGTACTTATTTCTCATACTTAAAAAAAACTCTGGGGATCTGTCAGACATCTGGAAAGAGGGACAGTCTAATGCAGATGCTTGTGGGACAACTTGAATTTCCCAGCAGATAATAATTGATGAGCAAAATCAGCATGTTTGCATAACTTTGTACCTGAATTAAACTCATAGGCAATTCCCCTGTGCGGGATGAATCCATGTATTTTTTAAGGTCCTGATTAAGGTACTCAAACACCAGATAGAGTTTCTTCTGACTATGTATGACATCAAGAAGCCTGTAATAAAAATGAAATCCAGTTACTGAATGTCAGAATTTGAAAGAACTACGGCAATATTGTCATTATTACACAAAGAACATCAACTTTTTTACAGTATGATATTGATTCCTGGACTGAGGAAATCCAACTTTAAATCCCAGTCAAACATAAAACTGGATCCTTGAAGGTCTCTGTGGGTAAAAAAAATAAAATAACAATAATAACAATGTTTTGTATTCACAATCACAATCTAGCAATTTATTGTCGAAGGCTTTCATGGCTGGAATCACTGGGTTGTTGTAGGTTTTTCCGGGCTATATGGCCATGTTCTGGAGGCATTTCTCCTGACGTTTCGCCTGCATCTATGGCAAGCATCCTCAGAGGTGTGAGGTCTGTTGAAATTAGGACAGTGTGCATGCACCTTGTGAAGATCCCTTACCTTGCCAGCCAGGGTGGCAGGGCCCAGGAAGAGACAGGCTAGGTAGTTTCAGCTTAGAAGGCCTGGCAGAGAGCTGCTGGAGCCATCTTAGTTTAGGGAAAAGCTCCAGTTCAGAGAGGGGGAGTGGCCTAGGCCTGAGCCAGCCCAGCAACAGCCAGGATTGGTTTGGAAAAGGGGGGCGGAGTTAGTCAGTTGGAGGGAAAGAGAGCAGATTATTTTGACAGATCAGTTCGGTTCTGAGTGAGGTTAGAGTAGGATTGGGAGTTTTAGGAGTCTCTGTTAGGAATAGGCAGCTTGCCTGTAGTTTGCACAGCAAAGTAGGCTGTGGCAGACTGGGTTACAGCTATTTTAGAAAAGAAAATAGCTGGGTCTCTGTTTATGAATTGTAACAAAGAATAGAACATTTCTCTCAAGTAACCATTACGCTTCTAAGAACCAAGAACACTTTTATTGTAACAGCCAAGCCTCTGAACCTGCATTCATTTTTATTCTGTAACTTGTAATCAATAAACTCTTTCTTGTTATTTTTAAAACTTAAGCCTGAGTCAAGTGCCATTTTTGGTTGGAATCCTTTTCTTCGTTGAATCAACCTCTCCATTTTTTCCCCTCAAAGAAAGCCCTTGTTATTACACAGTATTCGGTGGAGTAAAAAAGCCTTTTAATAATTTAAACAGCCTTTTAACATTCTAAATAGCTAGAGGGTTCGTTATTCTTCAGTTTATGGTGGCAGCGAAGGTTTTAAAGAAAGAGACATTCCCTCAAACGCTATAAGAGCCAAAGTGGTGTGAATTCCTTATTGAAGGAGGGACAGTGTTGGGATCTGCTTGCCCCCTGTCCAGTGATATTGTTTGGTCATCAAAGAAATTATATCATTATAATTTGGTGGCAGTGGTGGGATTCTTTGACCCCCCTGCCCAGACGGCCAATTAAGGAGTCCTTAGTGACTTGAGGAGTCACTATTACACAAAGAACATCAACTTTTTTACAGTATGATATTGATTCCTGGACTGAGGAAATCCAACTTTAAATCCCAGTCAAACATAAAACTGGATCCTTGAAGGTCTCTGTGGGTAAAAAAAATAAAATAACAATAATAACAATGTTTTGTATTCACAATCAATCTACACAGTCCAGCCAGGCTAAAATCAAATAGGATTGGTTGGATCATCACCTTATCTTTCTTATCATCACTGTTGCCAGAAGGGTGTAAAGTTTAGGCAGAGCTCCTGGCTATTGTGGATGTCTTGTGTTGGTAACAGCAAAGGTGTATGCAGGGAGAAGAAGGTGGGAAAAAGTAAGTGGCAACACAAGCACAGTGGGGCTGTTCTGGAATTTAAAGGCAATTTTTCTCCTGACGTTTCGCCTGCATCTATGGCAAGCATCCTCAGAGGTGGTGAGGTCTGTTGGAAGTAGGAAAATCTAGCAATTATTTTGACACTATTGCCATGACATTCACTCCTCTGCCATGACATTCACTCCTAGCTGGGAATTCCATGTGCTTGCCATCAGATTATGGTTGAATGATATTTTTGCCAGGTTTAGAAAGGAGTTGAGTCAAGAAAAGTATATGGATGGTGTGATTTTAGTATAGAATATAATGTTTTTGAATATCTAATATGTATTAATTTTAACTTAATTTGTAATTTTAATATTTTGGAATTGTATGGGTTTTAAGGCATTGAATAATTGCCTCTGTTGTAAGCGGCTTGAGTTCCCTTCGGGGTAGAGAAAGGTGGGGTATAAATAGGGTAAACAAATAAATAAATAAATATTTAACTAAATAATTGAAACAGGATTCCAGTCAACGTCTTTCTATTTTTAATTTTACCATGTGCCTCTAAGTCATTTCTAACTAATTCCTTTAAAGGAATGTATCATGGGATTTTCCTGGAAAAAATTGTTTGGAGAGAGTTTGCCTTCCTCTGAGGCTGAGACAGTGTGATTTGCTCAAGGTCACCAAATGGTTTTCCATGGCCAATCAAATATTCAAGCTCTACTCTCCCTGTGTCCCAGTCCAACACTCAAACCACTATACTATGCTATCTCTCTGACTTTATATGTAGTGTTATTTAAATGAAATATAATCGGTATTTGCATCAAGGCAATCGGTTTTACTCTGATTTGTTCTTTCTTCTTTCTAACCTCATGAATAAAACATCGCAGGGTATATTCTGAAATAACAACATAGGTAAGGAGAAATAAGGAGGAAGACATCAAACTGTAAGCCTGCTTACCATTAAGTTAACTCATAGATGGAACAGATTTGTTCTAAAAACAGATAACTTGTGCATTTTAATAAGTGACGCTCGACTGTCAAGAAGCAGCTCTGTCTTCCTTGGAACAAGTCTGAAGAAACACATCAACCATTTGCTCCCTCCTCAAGGGCATGGCTCAGAGTCTCAAGAAAACAAGAACAGGATTGCATCCTGAATCTAGAAATAGCCACCCTGTAATGTTTGCATGGCACTATACAATATAGGTCTCAGCGCATAACTTGTGACATAAATATAGCTAAAGCTTAGAGCACTTAAGTTCTGAAGCTCTTCTTACCTCACTATGTTTGGATGTTTCAGCTCTTTCAGCAAAGAGATTTCTCTGATTGCTGTACTAGGAACCCCTTCAGTCTCCCTGTGGCAAAAGAGATCCTGATTTCAGGCAACCCAGTGCTTCCAAAATAATGCTTTGTGGGGCATAATTATACCCAACCCTCACTGGTCATTTCATTTTTTTCCCAATGGAATACTTAATATAATCAAACAAAGAAACATAAATATAGAAATTTCAGGGAGACCACCATTGCTATTTCTATATTATTTCCCAACCTCCGTCAGCTGAACTGTTAAATGAATGCCGTGAAGGAATGACACTCCTTTGCCAATCAATCCAGTTCCTTCTTGGAATCAGGACTACGCAAAAACGTTGCAATCATTTCATATGAGTATTAATCAGTAATAGCAACTGATGTGATAGTCAGGGATGTAGAGAGATGGAGGACAGGATACTAAAAGAACAGCAGCAGATGGGGTTTCATGGAAACATCTTATTTAAAAAATTATTTTAAAAAATGTTCAGATTTTTCACCATGCAATCATTGTATTGCCTCAGATACCTATCAGATCATGAAAACCATGCTTCAAAATGAAAATCATTTATGTGTATATCCCTATAGAATCAATCAATAACTGATAAGCAAACTAATCAATTCATTGTTTTTTCATATATGAAGTGATCCCCAACGAACTGTTCCTGTGAATGTATTCATAATTCATCACAAATTAAATTAATTAACATTCAAGTTTCAATAAAAAAAGGTTTACGCTCCCAATCAGAGCCAAGTTAGATTTATTAATAAAACGTTATAAAATTTAGAAAAGAATTATGTAGGATACATAATTATTGGGGGAGATCAATATAGCCAGAGTAAAAGGGAAAGGAAAATATAAGGAATTGAATCAGACAATCTTCATAATTGAATAAATAAAATAATACAAAGAACAGAGGTACAACTGTTCCCGGAGGAAGGGAGAAGGGAGGAAGAGGGAAGGGAAAAATTGGATATGTATAAGTAGCAGATAAGTATAGAACTGTAAAGGATAGAAAAACAAGAATAATTAGAATGGTATTAAAATTAATTGATTTTTTTTTGTAATGTGATTGTGATAGTGTTAAAAATTTACTTACAGCACCATATAAAATTTATGCAGTATATTAAAAAGAAGAAGAAATATGGAGACCAGATACTTACGAATCTAAACGGATCTTTTTCAAAGCAACTAACTGGCCTGTCTGCCTGTTTCTGGCTTTATATACTACTCCATATGTACCTTCCCCAATCTTCTCCACTTTCTGGAAAGTATCTTGGAAAGTGTCCATTCTTTGTCTCCTTCCTTCCTCCTATAACACGTAATCAAATTATTACAGTAGTCCTATTTTATCGTTTAAGTGCATGACATAGTTCCATTCCATCATTCTTTCCATCCTCAAGTGCTTGAGAAATAATGTGCCTTTTACCTTGGTTTGCATAAATATTATTTATATCTTTCCTTTCAAAACAGATGTCCCTTTATAGAATAAATCTTTTATAAATAAATGGTTGTTCTCAACTATTACACTATTTGTTTCACTACTCTAAACAAAGCCTACCTCCAGGAACACAGTATCCATCCCATTTTTACATAATGGTTCTCATCCTTCTTTCAAGAAGCTCTAGGCAGCATTTTAGTCTAATGATGAATCTGTGAAGGTGAGCCCAAAAAACAGTCACCTTCTGAGGACCGCCTGTAGAGTTTCATTTCATAGCCAAACCTCTGAGCTCTGATCCCTGGTTTCATACAATAAAGCTTTGAGCAAAACATCACTGTGGCTATCCAACTTCCTCATTCACCCCTCTTTTTGCAAAATATGTACTGCTTTCATACTAACAAAGATGCCAAAAATAGGATCCATGCACAACTACGTGTCCATTTTATAAATTATTCAGTTGCAGATATAGACACGAGACCATTCCAAATGGGAGACATTTCCTCTGAGGCATGTTAGGCCACGATTGCTGTCAAAAGAGGAGACAAACTATAAACATTATGCAGTATGATGCCCTTCTCCATGGATTCAGTATCCACGTTTTCACATACCCTCACTTCAAATAGTACCCTCCCCCACAGAAGTGTTTGTGAGCCTTTTTAGGTCGTCTTGTGTAATTCTGTGGCATGTTGTATAGTCAAAACATTAGGTTTGGTATTATCGAAGGTTTCCTGAATATATCCTCTGTAGATACAAGGGTTGAACAGTGTCAATTGGCAGGGCTTTAGGCCCAGGCCTTGAGGTGGCCAGTGAGATAGCGCACCCCAGTCCCAAATTATCCCCCTTCCTATAACAATTATAGGTTTAACTGCAACTTAAGGGTAAAAAAACAACTCTTTGCAAGACTTCCCACCTGCTGAATGGCTTTCCCATTTGTCTCCATGACTTCTTTGCTGCTGGAAGGGGTAGCAAGTCACCTCACACAAGTGGCCTTCTCCACCACAAGGGGGATACAGTCAAATGTGCATTACTACCACCTAGTGTTGTAAGGTGTAAATAAAATAATACATTTATTTTCACGCTTTATATTTGACTCCTATACTGTAATTGTGTGTATCCCTCAGAAGCAGAGGGCTGTGAGAATGTAAACAGTGCAAATTGGAGGCCTTGGCTTCTTTAAGTGAGTCAATCTACCCCAGGTATGGGCAAACTTGGGCCCTCTCTCCAGGTGTTTTGGACTGCAACTCCCACCATTCCTAACAGCCTCAGGCCCCTTCCTTTTCCCCCTCAGCCGCGGCTGAGGGGGAAAAGGAAGGGGCCTGAGGCTGTTAGGAATGGTGGGAGTTGCAGTCCAAAACACCTGGAGAGAGGGCCCAAGTTTGCCCATAGCTGGTATAGATGCAGCCCTAGACAACAAATGCCTTTGGTCTGGTCCAGCAAGGCCTTGTATTTTTATTGAACTTGTTCAAAGCAACTATTGATTAATGCTGTTTGCGTACCTTTTTGCATCCCTTGATGAGAACTAAACATGCTATATCTGGAATGTCTCCTTTGCAAGATAAGAAGAGCCTTTTATAAGCAACACTATGATACAAGGGATATAAAGTAGAGCAGTCCTAGTCAGTCTAGTTCAGTGGTTCTCAACCTGTGGGTCCCCGGGTGTTTTGGGCTACAACCCCTGAGAATTTCTGGGAGTTGAAGGCCAAAACATCTGGGGAGTCACAGGTCAAGAACCACTGGTCTAGTTAGTACCACTTGCATGCTGTCATGGAGTCATCCTTCACACAATGGCAATGTATAGGCAGTCCCCAAGTTATGAACAATGTAGGTTCTGTAAGTTGAATCTGTATGTAAGTTGGATCATGTACATTTTTATATGCAACTCCAGCCAAAAGTGTGTGTGTATATATATATGTGTGTCTGTGTGTATGGAACGATTCCATCAGTGCTGCCGCCGAAAAATCCTGCAAATCTCTTGGGAAGACAGGCGGACAAATGTCAGCATGCTGGAAGAAGCACTGAAGTGATGCTCCTACGCCATCGACTCTGCTGGACTGGCCACGTTGTCCGAATGCCCGATCACCATCTCCCAAAGCAGCTACTATAGAATCATAGAGTTGGAGGAGACCTCATGGACCATCCAGTCCAACCCCCTGCCAAGAAGCAGGAAAATTGCATTCAAAGCACCCCCAACAGATGGCCATCCAGCCTCTGTTTAAAAGCTTCCAAAGGAGCCTCCACCACACTCCGGGGCAGAGAGTTCCACTGCTGAATGGCTCTCACAGTCAGGAAATTCTTCCTAATGTTCAGATGGAATCTCCTTTCTTGTAGTTTGAAGCCATTGTTCCGCATAATCCCAAATCAAGAACGGGAAATGTAATGATGGTGAATAGGAAAAGAGATTTAAAGATGGGCTTAATGCCAACCTTAAAACTGTGGCATAGACACCGAGAACTGGGAAGTCCTGGCCCTTGAGCGTTCAAGCCAGAGGTCAGCTGTGACCAGCAGTGCTGCAAAATTCGAAGAGGCAAGAATCGAGGGCAAGAGGAAGTAAGGTGCCAAGAGGAAGGCATGTCAAGCCAACCCTGACTGGTTATTGAGTATACACTCAATAACCCAAAAATATTAAAAGCCAAATTCCTCCTAATACCAGAGATGTATTTATTAGGAATAACAAATGTAAAACTAAATGAAAATCAGGACAAAATGCTTTTCCTCATGTGTACTGCTGCAAGATTAACTCTGGCCAAAGTCTGGAAGCAAAATAAAGTACCAACCATTGATGAATGGATTCTTAAAATGTTTGATTTAATACAAATGGACTGCCTGTCACAAAAATTAAGAGATGCAAGAAAGAAAACAAACTGGTCAGGATTTAAAGACTTTATTCAAAGTAATGGAATAACACTAATTATAGACTTTTCCTACTGAATCGGAGATTTGCATCAGTTCTATGCATTTTTATTATTTAAATGGCTTTCTAAACATGATGGTGACTTACAAGCATCCTAATGGAATACAAGCATCACTTCTATGTTAGAAGAAATATACATTCTCTGAATGCAATAGTAAAAAAAGGGTGCTTTCAAAATATTGATCTCAAGCTTAAATAAAAAAATACAGCTTTACAAAAGCATTACAAAGTGATCCAGGAAAAAGCTCACAAGCTAGTGAGATAGTAAATATAGCATAGAAAGAAGTCTGTTTCACAGAAAGTTCATCAGGAGGAAGTGTTTCCTCCTGGATTCTTCATTCTCTCCTGGAAATATTTTCTCTGCTCATCAATAGCATTTTCCAACAACTGAAGGTTTATTCCTTCCACGCATGTAAATATCCGTGCCTTGACAATGACGTTCTCACCTGTAAATGTAAGCATTCAATTCATCAAAATTATGGTAACTTTTAATACAGTCTTTGATACCCAGTTCATCTTTCCCCCGCAGTGCCCATTGGCCATTAAATCTAGTAAGTAATTCCCCATAAGTTCTTACATCATCCTTAGAGGTGGGTCTCGCAATAGCTTCTATTGGTCTCAATCACAGAGGTGTTTTTGGTTCCATACCCAACTTGTACCTATTCCGAATGTCTATTAGACTTCCTCTAATTATATGTTTATTGAATGCCTTATTTAGCCTCTCTCCTTCATACCAAAGGTATACATGCCAAACAAATCTTAGGCCATGGCCTTCTAAATTAAGTAAATTTGTATTCTTGAGTTGTTATCAATCTCTGAGCCAGCTCATGCAAGCAGTTTCATAGTAAGTTCTTAGGTCTGGTAAATTTAGTCTCCCCACCCCACCCCCCCACCCCCCTCCGCTCTTTGACATCAATTAAATTCTTGTATGCAATCCTGGCTTTTTCCTCTGACCAAATGAATTTTATAATGCCAACCGCTTGGCCGCTGTGACGGTCTGGATGAGGGCGAACAAATTGAAATTGAATCCAGACAAGACAGAGGTCCTCCTGGTCAGTCGCAAGGCTGAACAGGGCATAGGGTTACAGCCTGTGTTGGATGGGGCCGCACTCCCCCTGAAGACGCAGGTTCGCAGCTTGGGTGTGACCCTGGACTCATCGCTGAGCCTGGAACCCCAGGTTTCGGCGGTGACCAGGGGAGCATTTGCACAGCTAAAGCTTGTGCGCCAGCTGCGCCCGTACCTTGGGAAGTCTGACTTGGCCACGGTAGTCCACGCTCTGGTTACATCCCGTTTAGACTACTGCAACGCTCTCTATGTGGGGTTGCCTTTGAAGACAGCTCGGAAGCTCCAACTAGTCCAACGCTCGGCAGCCATGATTTTAACAGGAGCGGAGAGCAGGGAGCATACAACCCCCCTGTTGCGCCAACTCCACTGGCTACCGATCTGCTACCGGGCTGAATTCAAAGTGCTGGCGTTGGCCTTTAAAGCCCTAAACGGTTCCGGCCCAAGCTACCTATCTGACCGCATCTCTGCCTATGAACCCACCGGGACTTTGAGATCTTCCGGGGAGACCCTGCTCTCGATCCCGCCTGCTTCTCAAGCTCGGCTGGCGGGGACGAGAGATAGGGCCTTCTCGGTGGTGGCTCCTCGGCTGTGGAACGCCATTCCTACGGACATTAGACTAGCACCATCTCTAATGGTATTCCGCAAAAAGGTGAAGACCTGGATGTTTGTGCAGGCGTTTGAGTAATTTAGTGCAATCTGGTAATGTAATATAGGAATGGAACAATGGACGACGAACCTGGACTACGCTTGGATTATGAGAAGATTGGGTACAGTTGTTTTTCATAATAATTGTGCATTGTAATTGCTTATTGGTAATTTATGGATAATGTGTTAAGTCAATTGTTATATGTTGTATGGAACCACTGCTGTTTCTACTGTTTTTACTGTTTGTGAACCGCTGTGAGTCGCCTTCGGGCTTGAGATACAGCGGTATATAAGCAAAGTAAATAAATAAATAAATAAATAATAAATAAATAATGTCCCTTTTCCATACGTTAAAAATGTTGATAGGTATGTTCTGAAATAGAAAGAGCATTTTGGAGAGTATCATCATCTTGATAATTGCTATTATTGAGATGAATTTTCAGCAGTTGTGACTGTGGATTCTATCCTCTGCTTGATCCACATACAAGCCTTCTTTGCTATTCACTATTAGTACAATATAGTCCATCTGCTTTCCAAATTGTAGGACAAGATAACAAAATTTCTAGTACACATATACCATCATACTATAATTTCTATGTTATATATTTTAAATGTTTGTTTGTTTTTTTCTTAGACAAGGAATCTGGGGTCCAAAGATTAATTTTTTATTTTGTTGGAATAAACTTAGCATGTCCCCAACATAGTACCCTGTCATGTGGTGTGAACTTGTCTATTTATGCCTAAGTGAATGGCTCAAAAGGAAAAAAACAACTATCAAAAGGATAACCAAATTAAGCATAACTTACCAGGAAATAACTGCTCCTAAGATATTAGGCTTCCCAAAGCATCCATTTCAATGCTTACAAGAGTGATTCTCAATGTTTGGTCCTCAAGATATTTTGAACTTCAGTTCCCAGAATCCTTAACCATTGATCAAATTGGCTGAGAGATTAAACCCCCCCCCCCCCAAAAAAAAATCACAGACAGAACAATATTTGAGAATTGGTCAAGATTATCCCTGGTTCCATGGAATGAAAAAACACAGATGACTTACCCTCTCCACATTCAGTTTCCCCAAGTACGAGATAGGGGGACCCAAGGTGTGCTTGGAATGGTTCAACCAACTTGGTACAAACCCAGATGCTGTGCTGAACAGAAGCGTGCTGAGCTGTTATAATGGCTTGAGAACTGGTCATATCATAGGAGTGTAGCCTGAAGGACAAAAATGGAACAAGCCTAATTCATGATGATGATGGTGTACAATAACTTCTATAATACTTTACAAACCAGGGATTATATTAATAGGGGTGTTGAGCCATTGACAAGCTATTGCACTTTAATCAATTATACCATTGTGTATGCTGATATAATTATCTATCTGCAC